CTTCCAAACTCAGCAGACCCATTGCCCTTCACCGTTCTGTTCCGGTTTGTTGTTATCGGATTAGAGGTACCGACGTTGCTGTTCTTTTTTTATTTTCACTAGAATTTACTGCATTCGGTATTTGTACTCTGTGTTTCGTTGGAATGCCCATGGCAGTGACAGTGTGGAGCGCAGTTCTCTGTCGTTGATGCGTTTTATGAAAATTCTTATCAAAAGTATTTGTGAGAAGTGCAGATGTGTATCGCAGATGAGCGACAAAAATCAGTTCCCCAGAAACTACTGTCACTTTGCTTCTTGTCTTTTCCCATGTTTTTTTTTTTCCATATTTCAGTGGCCGATTTTTGGTAAACCTTCATTTCCATCGTTCTTCCGTACAACTGTGATTTTTTCGCTTTCTCTTTTTCAAAATCTTGACAAAATTGCCCCTCAAATTTTTTTTTTGCTGTAGCAAGACCGCAAGGAACCAAAGTAGCTAACCATGTGAAATATTGGCCCTCGAAGTTCGGGAAGCTAATTGTGCAACTATGTGCTTTCTCTTCTTTTTCAAAATCTCGGCAAAATTACTCCTCAAAATTTTTTTTTATTGCGACTTAGTATGTTTGTCATAAATTCAGAAGCTAAGAAATTAGTTTCTGCAAACTAGCATTATTTTGAATCTTTCCCATCCCAGCCTGCTCTTCCCTTTCCTTCCCTCCCTGTCTTATTCTTAATAAAAAAAACACAGTTTTACACCATGAATGAAGCTCTGATCATGCGAGGTACAGTTCTACGATGCAAGAAATATGATTAATCAGCAGTTGTATAGACAGTAAATTATATGTGTATGTAATTTTTCTAAGTTCAGAAGAGAACTGGAAGCTGTACCAGGGATTTTTCAGGATCCGGCTGGAATATTTGAGCTGATCGAAGTGGTCGGTAATGGTACATATGGTCAAGTATACAAGGTATCTGTTGAAACTGATCGGTAGCTTTACAGAAGTGAATCTAGTGTTGTGTTGAATTTTACTTTTTTGAGAACTGGTATCATCGGCATTATAAGAATTATTTGTTGGCAAAAGTTATCAGCTAAGAATTATTCTGTGATTTATCGGGAATAGGAATCGAGGCAGTTGAATTTTTGAAAATTTTTTGAGATACAATCCATATTGGGCAATTTTTGTGCCAGGATTGAGGAAGGGCGTATGTGAGAAGCGCGAAAAATATCACTGAAATGCAAAAACTGCGAGAAAAAAGTGATTGATTACGAACACTTTGTTGCAGGGAAGGCATGTCAAAACAGCTCAGTTGGCCGCTATAAAAATTATGAACATCAATGAGGTATATCTTTCACATTGATCGAATTTTGTTCGTGCATTTTAGCGAAAAAAAACGTAAACTTGAAAAATATGTTTGTGAATTTCACTGCGAAACGTGCTTGGGGCTTGGTATGCGCACTTTTTGCTTCCCAGCGCTCTTAAATCCACATTTTACGCTTAGGGATTTTGTTTTGACCACTTATCGTTCAAAACCAGTCTGGGTTTTCCAATTTCGTCGTTCTAAAAAAAAAAAGGCAGGGTTTATATTTGTGTGTATATACGTGCATATGTATGTATGTATGCATGCATGTTTGTATGTATGTATGTATGTATGTATGTGTGTATGTATA